CCATCAGACACCTTACAACGCAAAGACAGTCCCCATCCAAAAAACCATCTGGTATCAAGTGTCAGTAGAGCTGAGGTTGGGAAACTAACAAATCCTATCTCTTTCCCAGCAACCTGTTTGTGAATTCCTGGGCAGATGGCATGCTGTTTTAATTGCTGTCTCTTTATCAGGAGACTTGGTGTCTGTGAAGCTGCCCAGTTCAGAGAGAGGTTTCTTCAGTTCAGTTAAAGTGGGAGAGCCCAGAGCCCCTCCAGAGGCCGGGTACCTAATTACAAAAACAGCCAGTCCTGCTCAGGGAGAGACAAGGATCTCTCAGTGGAGAAACCGACATGAACCTCCGCCCCCTGCAGGACCTGGTTGGTTGAGTAGCAGTGACGGGCAGGTGGTGAACCCAATGAGGCAGCAGATCTCCCCAAGTCCCTAAACCTATGGACGCTTTGAAGAAGCAACTTCTGGAAAACTGAAGTGATCCCTCCAACACCTCACCAGTATCTTGACCTGGCATTTTACTGAAGCTCTTTGCATATGTGAATAGTTCGAAATCGCAGGGCATCACCAGAAATCAAGGTTATTAATCTCATTTTATAGTGGAAGAAACAGGTTCAGAGAAGCGATGTCAGGAAACTTGTGTCGCATAGTGATCCCAAGGGCTGGTGTCTCACACCCACACCCCACACCCTCCCCAGCCCTGGCCTCCTGTCACCACACACAGTCGGCCCTTCCAAAGCATCAGGGCAACTCCCTTCTCCCCCTGAGACTTTCCACTTGGGCCACCTCTGGCTCAGTGAAGGGCTCTGAGCCACACCCCAATGCATGACTTTGTTTAATCGGATTCCCACAATGACCTCTGAGGTAAGACCTCTCACTGCCCCCATTGTACAACTGAGGAAACTGAGGCTCAAACAAATTACTAGTCTGAGGTACCACAGCTGGAAAGCAGCAGAACCCAGCTCTTGAGTTGGGGCAGATTCCATTCATTTGGCTGAGGAAGACCCCAGCCCACACAGTATGGGTCCCCTGTGTCTGGTAGATAAAAGTGGACTTTGTCCACCCAGACAGGACCAAACTGCCAAAACACTGGAATATTCCAAAGCACCAAATGTTCCAAATAACCTTTTGGTCTATTTGTTCTCCTCCCTGGGAGCTCACTATCTTTCCAGTAGTTCTGTCTGTAACAAAGTACTCTTGTAGCCTGAGGAGATCTGCCCCGTTGCCCCCTTCACCAGCCTTCTAGAGCTGGAGATAGAGGGATGCTCTAAGCACAAGGCAGCTGGAACAACCGAACACCCTGATTGCTACCCAGGCTGGATGGGTAATTTCACAGTGCTCAGCTGCGGGCTTGGATGTCCTGAGGTCGCAACTCTCGTTCACCCTCAGCCAGAAAGACGAGGAGGGCACGGTGCAGCAGATGTACCCCCAAGCGGCGGCGCCGGGCAGGTGGCCAGCTCGCCACCACGCCATAGCAGTGTCCTTGTTTCTGGTTAGTCAGCGTCCGGATCCCTAGAGAGATTAGGGATGAGGTCACAGGAGCAGCCTCAGCAAACTTCCAGTAGAAGTATGTGACAGAAGTATGTGAACCCACTGTGTATTGCCTTCAAGCAGGGATCAACCAAGCAGCAAAATATGTACAGGTATGTTGCTGGTGCTCAATAATTGTTCACTGAACAAATAGCCCTGAGAGGGAAGGGGTGACAGAACTGGTAGATCAAGTACCCTCCTATGAACCCCATCCACAAGCCACGCACTCACCTAGAGCATCCACAAGACACGCCTCTCGAGTGTAAGCTTCCACAGCGATCACATGCTGGAAGCAATGCAGGGAGATAACGCCATGACCACTGGCCCAAATGTCCAAGATCTGGCATACCTTGGGGCAGGCCTGGTGGGGGGAGCCAGGGCAGGGTCAAGGGTAGGCTCCTCAATCCCCTCCTTCCTCTACCTGCCCACGGCCTGGCTGCCCCCACCCTGACCCTGGTCCTTATCCTCACACCTGTTTTCCTGGCCGCCCATGGTAGTCGAGGGCCTCCCAGAGGTGGACATTCGGCCGAGCCCGTGTCCCCTTGCCCACATAGAAGATGGCATGGACAAAAGTCCGAAGGCATTCAGCCAGGGTCAGTGAGAAGGCTCGGGCTGGCAGGTCCTGAGTCTCCCTGGATGAAAGGGATGGCTCAGAGAGGAAAAAGAGACAAGAGTTGCCCTAGAGAAAGTCTCTAAGGTCACAGAACAAATTGAACTCACAGGGCAGAGAGTTGTGGCTGCTCCTCAAAGACTCAGCAGCTTGAGATGGCTCTAACCACCCTTTATAGATAAAGAAGCTGATGACCAGAGAGGGCCAGTTCCCTTTCTGAGGACACACAGCATATAAGAACCAATCCCATAGCTAGGCAATACGTTTTGTTTAAAAAAAAAAGGCATTTGAACTTAATTACTTTAAAATAAAATTAGCTTTTTAAACAAACAAACAAAAAAGAACTAATCTTAGAGATTTTCAGTTCCCACCTCTGGGTCTCACTACTGCCCTGAGTACCTGGGGTCCAGAAGCAGATACGTGAAGCTGGACTTCACAACACCCTCCCGCCACCTCCTGCCAGGATCCGGCCGCTCAAACTGCCGAGCAAGTGCATCCTCGTCTGCCTGAGCATCTGGGATTCGGCCTGTCCTCAAGGCCTCAGATAGCTCTGGGCTGTGCCCTGCAAAGTCTGGGCCTGGGAGGGAAAACTGAGTCAAGGAAAACAAAAAGGGGTGGTTCCCAGCGACAAAGTGAGAAGTGAGACTGAGAGGAAAGGGTCTCCAGAGATTCCTGGAGGCTCTTTGAACTCTGGATGCCCAGAAGGGACTAACCGGGTACAGCCTGGGATTCTTCTAGTCGTCGGAGATGGTATGGCCGGGCAGAAGGCGTGATGGGGCCTGGGCTCTTGCCAAGTGTCTGGAGCCCTTGCGGCAGCTCAAGGTCAGATGTGGTGGGGTCTGGCAGGCACCAGCAAGAGGGAAAGGGGTCCTTGCCACCTGTGGAACTTTCCTCATCCTCTGTCAGCCAGAGAGCGGCCACGTTACTCTCAAGGGACCCCTGGTCGTCTGTTAGGAAGTGAAAGTTGGGGGATCCAGGCAGTGGTTCTTGAGGGAGGCTGTGGGCTAGGCTTGCATCTGGGAGGGAGATGGTGTTGGGGGAGGCATCTGTCAAGGTCAGAGTCAGGGCCTGTAGACGGGCATTTAGTTCAGTCTCTTTGAAGGCCATGACGGCTCCATGCGCCTGCTGTGGTGTGCCTGGAGACCTTGGCAGCCTCTCAGATGGCTGGACACCAGGCAGTAGTTGCTGCCTGGTCTGGGGCAATGATACAGCCCACTGAGAAGTATGGGGGGCTGGGTCCTCAGCTCCAGAGGCCTCAACTGCTGTGACAAAGGAGGCATCTGAACTGCAGTCCCACAGCTCTTGGGGGGACTCTAAGCTGTCATCCTTGTCAGCAGTCTCAGAGTGAGCAAGAAAGCTGGGGGGTCTGGGGCCAGCTTCCAGGCCCATGTCCCTGCTGTCACTTCTGCCCAGTGCTGTGGAGTCCAGTGTCACATCAGGAGGTCCAAAGGGGCTGATGTTCAGCCTCTTTCCCCTGGGGCGTGGGCCTGGTGCAGAGAATGAGAGTGGGAGTCAAAGAAGGGGGGAGAGGGAGCCAGAGCCAGAGATGGAAGTTGGATCAGATAGAAGAAGGCAGCTGGAGTCAAAGGGAGGAGAGAGTGAAGTCAGAGTTGACTAGAGAGATACTGGCTGTGAGAGAGTCAGAACCAGCAGTAAACTGTGGACATCAGTGAGAGACACGATAAGCTGGTCCAGAGGCCAAACCCCTGTGGCCGCGCAGGCCCCACTCACCGCCAGACTCAGGCTCTAGCTCCTCGGTCTCTGCCCGGGTCCGAGTCCTGGTCAGCATCTGGAGCTCCCTCAGGACGTGCGCACAGTCCTGGTGCCCCTGCTGCTCCGCCAGGTCCAGAGGACGGAGTCCGTCCTGCAGTGGCACAGTCAGCAGGGGGCGCCCGAGGTCCCTTTTCCCTCCCTACGTCCCTATGGGTCCGCCCTGTTGCTCCCGGAGCTGGGGCCCTCACCTGGTCACGCAGCGCCGGGTCCGCTCCCTGGCTCAGCAGCAGCTCCATGCCGCGGAGACAGCCCCAGCCAGCGGCCACGTGCAGCGGTGTCAGCCCCTCGGCCGATCTGGGGCAGGAGTGGAGGAGGGGTCAGCGGAGGAGGAAACTTGATCTCCGCCCTGGAGCCTTGGCCCTCAGTCCCTCATCCCTATCCGCCAGCCTGGGACACCACTCTTGGAACCCAGATCCTGCGCCCTCGGGCTGGGACCCAAACGTCTGCTCTCTGACCCTAGAGATTCTACTCCCAGATCCGAAACTTTGATACCTACTTTGGCCCCAGCGCAACCGCATACCTCATCCTCGGTCTGGGACCCTAGCCCCCGTCCTGGCACCCTCAGGATCCCTCCCCTGATTCCGCAAGCTCCGCCCTCGGGCTTCGAGTCCCCATCCTTGGACCATGAGACGCCTTCTTCTGCACTCTAAGTCTTCGCCCTTGGACTCGGGAGACCCTCCACTGCACGGTAGACCCCGCCCCGGACCTAGGCCCCGCCTCACCGAGCGTTGGGGTCTCCACCTCGACGCATCAGGACCTTGAGGCATCGCAGAGCGCCCGGGTGCTGGGCTCCTGCCGCCAGGTGCATGGCAGCCGCGCCATCCGGGAGCACCAGGTTGGGGTCGGCGCCACGGCGCAGCAGCTCCTCCACGACACTGCGATCAGGGGTTCGGAGTGGACCACAACTCTCGCCTCCCGCCCTGGCCCGTCCGCACCAGGCCCTGTCCTCACCGTGGCTCTTCCTCCCGCAGCGCTGCCCGCAGCCGCCACTCCAAGCCTGTCACTGCGCCCATACTTGCGCGGTCCCCTAGCCCCGAGGTTCCGTCTGCCAGTTTCAAATTTTCCGCGGCACCCCTGTGCGCACGCGCTGCCACGCTGCTTGGCTCGGGTCTCCACATCCGCGTGCGGTGCAGGTTGCTTAGCTAGGGGTGCCCTGCGCCGCACTACCTTGTACTTCGGTGTCGGAGAGTTTCAGTGGCTCGTTCCCCTAGTGGCGCTCAGGCAGGACCTGGAGCTGCCGATAAGGGCCTGGGGGAGATGAAGTCCGCCTGGTGGGCCACTATCTCATCTCAAAACGGGAAATGTGAACGCACCCTTCTGGAGGAGGTGGAGCTACAACTCGGGGAACTGTGGGTGACTGCAGGGGAACCCTCTGCGGAAGAGGCCTCCATTAGCGCTCACTCAACAGCTTCCGCTTCCAGATGGGTTGCGCATTTTCAGTCTCCCAGAGCTGGGAGTCCATGGCTTTGGGCGCTGGGACGTCAGGGCCTTAGTTTCCCCATCTGTAAAATGGGGGAATAATCCCTTCCCGGCTTGTGTGATGTTGAACGAGAGTTTCATCACAGAGGTCTGAAACACATTTGCCCAATGCTGGTGGGAAGGAACAGCTGTTATTCAATGAAGCTATTTTCATTTTATCTAGAACTGAGAATGTAGCTGATGAACTTTTTCACAATTGTTCATTTTCCAGAAAGATAGTTGAATAGTGGACCTGTTATGTCTATCTTGTCTCCCTTTTTCTGAGGAGTACCCACACTATTTCCTGGTGGACTTGTAACCCTCCCTCAAAAGAGGCTTGATCCAGGCCTGGACACTCAGAACATCCTGGAGTTCTGGCCCATGGCCCAGGAAAGGCGTCTTAAGGGGGTGGCTGGGAACCCTCACTTCATTTGGGCTGGGATTTGGGGAGTGGTCACAGCTGTTAAACAGGAAGCCCTAATTTGGGGTGCAGTGAAGTAGCCTTTACTCAAAACACCTCAATGGGGAGCACACCATCCCCTTCAGCAATTGCCCTTAGTGTTTCAGCTCCAGCCAGAGACCCAGTCTTTGGTAGAAAAGGAATGAGCACACCCCAGCCGGAGAGGACCTGACATAGCAAAGCCCCTTAGGCAAATGAAGACTCCAAATCCTTAGTTTGATTGGTCCTAAAAAGCACTGTCCTGATTAGTCAGAATGGAGCCAATCTGACTGGTCAAAGATGCTAATGAGGATACAGCAGCCAGCTCCAATTGGATGTTAGGTGGGTATATCCATACATCCATACCATCGGTTGAAATTCCAAGAACTCCTTTATAAAAGTTGACTCAATCTACAAGAAGTTCAGAGCAAAACGCAGACAGTTTAGTGCAGGCTTCTCCCCGAAGCTCTAAGCTCCTGTTCCTGTTTGGTAATGGCTGCTAGGGTTTTGTTTGTTTTTCCCCTTAATTTGAGCCCAGTTAGCTACCAGGAACCCTTATTGGTAGGCACTTTCTTTCCTGGGGTGGATGCAGCCATCTCACCCCATTCCACAGGTTGGGAGGAAAGCAAAACACAGTGAACACCAAACATGCAGGGTATTAAAGCCCACTCAAATAGCAATGTCATCTAAACAGCTGGATACAGCCAAGCCTGAAGTTGCACCTTGGCTTCTCATCCACAAGAACCAAGACATTTCCCTTCCTGTTCAATGGGTGGGATTTCTATCACTTGCAACCAAGGAGACCCCAATTAACACAAGGTGATTGGTGTGGATCTCACTTAGGGATTTCTCAGATTTTTATTCTAATGACAAAAATCGCACAATGAAGAACAAAAATTACAACTGATAAAGAGTGGGATGTGTGCTGGGAAATATGGGGAATGAGTGCCCAGTCCCTGGGATGTTTCCTAGAATCTTGGGTTTCCTTCCACGGCTCCCAAATACCCTGGGTGGCTCCTTGAAGAACCCCCAGGGGTCCGATGGGCCCCAGTTTGAGAACCAGCACTCTAGGCCACGGGTTTCATTGTATAAGAAGGTTGGACACACAGGGATGGTTCAAACAGTGGCCTCAACTTCGGTGGCTTCATCCTCCTCCTCCAGCAGGCTGTAGGAGGCATGGCTCTGGCAGGGTCGCTGCAGTGGGTGAGCCAGCAGCTTGGCCATACAGTTGTGCAACTCGAGGGCTGGTCCAGCCAGCGCCACCTCATACTTGTAGCTGGTGCCCTTGGTATCCAGGCTGCCCATGAAGGCGAACATGTCCTGTAGGAGGCCAGGAAGGGGTTCTTCAGGCAGGCGTTCTCCTGATAGGCCCTCCTTGCCCCTGGAGGATTTCCCAGAGGAGGGGGCATTAGGGGTGGGTTCTGAAGGATGAAGGAATTTTGCCAGGCAGAAAACAATCCTTCATTCAGCAAACATTCCCTGCACCCATCCACTGTTAGAGCTTCCAGTCTGGAGATAGCTGGATGCAAGTTACCCTCCAGGCCCCATGCAATCTTCCTTGAGGAGTAGGGAAGGCTCCCCAAGGTAGGGATCTTTGGCTTGAATACTAAGGTAGGAGTAGGAGCTGGTCTCAACTCTCCCTGTTCACAGCTGAGGCTCAGAGAGGTAAGTGGCCCACTTGAGGTTCTACAGCTGGTTCAGTGCTGGGACATGAATGACCAGCAGAGCCTGGGAAGGCAGGGAAGGAAGGGTGCTCCAAGCAGAGGGTACAGCTAGGGCAAAGGCAGGAAGAGAGAGGAGCAGATGTTGGGAATGAAGTGGGCAGGTCCCTATGTACTCCCAGGCCCACTATCCCAACAGCCTCCATGAACCCCCCAGCGGATATGTGGAAATGCTTGCTGAATGACTGAATGACCAGGATCCAGGAGGTGGTGTCCACCAGACCCCAGGTAGGCAGGTTCTGAGATACCCTATCTATACTCACCTGCCCCACACCCACCATAGCCTCACCTTCCAGCTCATCTCCTCCTCCTTCTCGTCAGCACCATTGTGGATGTAAACGACATCAAAGAAGAAATATGGGCACTGGAACATTTTCTGCAAGGGAAGAACACTAGCCTTTGGTTACCCTGTGACCTCATAACCACAATTCCCCAGCTTCTGCCTCGGACTTGGGGAATCTGCCTGTAGGTGCCCTAGCTCCTGTGCTCAGGAAGTCCCTCCTAGTGTCTCACCACCCCTCTCCCAGGCCTCAGTCACCTTCATGGGCTCAGTAAGGGAAAACTGGGGCTGGCAGGGCGGGCGGCTGTAGACAAGGATGGTGCGGACTACGTATGGAGGCGGGATCGTCTGCACGTTCTCTGTGACTGGCAGCTCCGTCTTCTGCTGGCTGCACAGTGGGGAGAAAGAGGACAGGTCGGAACATACTTTAGGGGTCTCCCACTGTCATCACCCTTGCTGGGCACATAAGGCCCCATTCTAACCCCTCCCAAGTTCACTGCTGCCTCTGACTTTTCCCACGTGTTGTTCCCTCTACTCAGAGCGCCTCTTCAGCCTTATCCATCTGCTTGACCTCTCCTGCTCCATCCAGGAGGCTTTGCTAACCCCAAAGCTGGATGCTCTGGCCATCCTGAGCATCCCCCATCACTGCCTGGAGTTGGCCTTGTCCCACCAGGCCAGGAGACACCTAGGCAGGGATTCAATCTTATATGCTAAGTTAGCACATATTTCTCCACTCGGCCACAGCTAGATCTCATGTTGGGCCGACAGCACTAAGAAGAGGGCTAAGGTCCTTCCTATGTAAAAAGCAAAGTTGATCGCAAACAGGAGAAAAGCCGACTTCCCCACAGAAAAATAGGTAAAGAGGACAGACAAATATACAAATCACTGAGAGAATATCAAATGGCTTAAAAATGAAGGAGAAAAGGCTCAAAGAAAAGCACAGCAGAACATGTGGCCTCTTCCCACAATCACACAGGCACAGCTTTCAGCAGCATGGTCAATCCTGGTGCCAGGGGAAGTAAACAAGAGCTAATTTCTGGAGAAGTGCTTTGGCAATGTCTAGCAAAATTAAAAAATTCTCCCTACTCCCTGATCCAGTATATCCTCCATTATGAATTTACCCCACGGGTTCTCTTGCAAAATTTGCTGAGATGTTTGTACCAAGTTAATCATGATGGTAAAGGCAACAGAAACATGGGTTAGAAATGTAGGGTCCATGAGCTAAGAATGGATTTGATATTTTTAAATGATCAGAGGGGAAAAAAAACCAAAAGAATATTTCATGACATGTAGAGATAATATGAAATTCAAATTTCAATGTCTGTCAATAAAGTTTTATTGGCACACAGCCATACCCATTTGTTTCAGTATGGTCTGGGGCTGCTCTGGGAGTACAACAGCAAAGTCCAGTCATCATGACAGAGACTACATGGTCTGCAAAGCTGAAAATATTTACTGTCTGGCCTTTTATAGAAAAAGTCTGCTGCCCCCATTCCCCGGGGTTAACACAATTGAGTGGAGCCTCATAGGGTCATAATGGGACTAACATGGAGAGGAGACGTGGGGAAGGGAGAACTTACATGAGGCTGAAGAGACCTTCCAGATCTGGCAGTAATGCTAAGGAGAAGGCTGATGGCAGAGCACAGGTGGCAGGGGTCGGTGGCTTCCCTCATCCTGATGCCAAGAGACCCTGCGCACCTCTGAGCCTGGTGCTATGTCCACTGTGTGGGAAATGCGCTGTGTGACCCTAGCCTTGTCGCCTGCCCTCTCTGGGCCTATTTTCCCCCAGGACAGATCACAAACCAGTGGGCTGGCATCAGATGTCCTAAGGATCCTTGGTGATTGAAATCCCCCATTTCTCTCAGGGCCGGGGCCACTCTCCTGACAAGCAAAGAGCCATGGGTGTCCCTGTCCTCCTCCTCCCAACACTCACCAGTTTTCTAATTCACAGGGATCATACTCTATTTAAGTTTTGGGCTGCACATGAGCCTTTCATGTTAAAATCAGCATAAAGTGTGCTGTAGTGGTGACTTTTCAGTCACATACTGCCATTTATTGAGTAGCATCTGTTTAACAGGCCCTGCATGGAGTGCTCCCCCTGTGGGTGCTGTTTTGATATACAGAAGTCTAAATCAGCTGGTCTGCTTCTGTTAGGACTTTACCTCTGCAGGGATACCATGGGGTAGGAGGTTCACTGCCTCCCATTTTACAGATGAAGAAACTGAGGGTCAGAAAGGTGACTGGCCCAAGCTTGTTGTGGCATAGCTGAAATCTGGACCTGAGCCATTCCGAGCTGGCCTCCTCCACAGTTCAGACTACCTAGATTCTGAGGATAACAGGACTAGCCAGGCCCTCCTCCCTGACTCCCACAGCACACCCCTGCCTGGAAGGATACTGAAGGTGGAGCAGGAGGCTGTTTCCAGGTCATAGAGACAGCTGCAGAGCTCACGGGGGTCGGAAGTCAGGCCAGATAGCTGTGGGGAAGCATAAGCC